AGGGGTCACAGACGGCACCGGCTGAGGCCGAGCATGAGCCGGTGACCCGACGACGAACAACGTTGTCTAATTCCCTTTTATTAGTCGCCACGGGCCTCGGGGGCCAATTTAATGCCAGGTTGATGCAGACGAGCTGCGCTACACCAGCTCGCCACCTTCTCGACCCTCGGCGCATTGGATGCACTAACGTACACGTGTGTGTCTGTTCGTCCGTCTGTCGGCATGTAGGTGTGGGTGTGTGAGTGTAGGTGGGGTTGGATGAGCAAAATGGGACATGTCGTGGAGGAGTAGAGGAGAGATGGTGAATTTAATTCCTTCAACTCAGTGCCAACCGAGCGAAATGGAGCAACTCGGAGGAAATGCGAAGACTTTGCAGAAGATGCAATGTGAGGCAGCAAAAGTGAAAAAGCATAAATCGGCCATCACAATGGCAATATTGAGCTGAATGGGCGAACTCGGAGGACGAAACAATTCCGACTATATTTCGGCAAATGGTAACAATCAACCTCGAGTGGGAAATGCATGATGGCAAAAAGGGGGGAGGAGTGTTTTCTAGGTAACCGAGGCCATAAATCCGGCCGCAGAATGGTCGGCCTTACATCCAAGCAGCACAACCGGAAAGTTGCTCAATTATTTTTCGTTGATATTTAAGCTTTCGAGACTACCAGTAAATTAGATATCTTTTTGGTTGTAAGGTGAGGGAGGACTTGTAGGTGAATTTTCCCACATTCAATTGAGTAGACCTTGCGTTGCTATTGGATTTCATATGGCCTTGCTTTCCTCAAGGGTATTCTCATCCGGGCAGGAGTGGACTGCCGTTTCCACCTCGCCCAATCTGGTCTCATCAGCACCCCCAGAGGGACTCGAACAATGGCATCGCAGCGTATAATCTCAATACGTTGACTACTGTGGTTATGTGAACTTCAATGGAAACGGAAGGTGGGAAAATTCAACAAAACGGCGTGAATACATCTCATTTATACATTCATATAATCTAGTGGTAGTCTCGAAAACCGAATCATACAAACGAAGACATTTCATGCAATTGATCCACTGGTAGCCGGGACTCGTGCCTATAAACTGACAAAAAGCACAATTTCTACTCGACGGATAGGCTTAAGAAGAGTGGGAGAGTGGGGCAAAAAGGACGAGGCGCCATTCACAACAAGTTATCAGCTCAGTGATACCTCTAACCAGCCTGGCATTGATTCCACACATCTGGTAGACCTTTCAGCTCAACCAGAAGTGGTCTTGGGATTACACAATCACAGTTATGTCTTTCCTTGGCCATTTAACCCAGATGACCCTGGACTAGGATTAGGTACTGTTGTACTTACTCAGAGCTATCACTAGTAGGTTCGTACTCTGACGTACACACACCCACACACACACACACACAAACACACACACAAACGCCTACACAGAGACTAATAAGAAATCATTTTCTATCTATCTATGGATATGTATATACTTTTAGCTTTTTGTTAGCTGTGAAGATCTTCTTGGAGAGTCTTCTTGAATAAGTGATACTTCGAAACTCTTGTTAAACTAAGATA